TCTATTCTATTCTATTCTATTCTATTCTATTCTATTCTATTCTATTCCGCGTTATATTGTTTGTCAGTTTTAATCTCTCTGGCTCTTCTCACAATCACTAATAAATGCCTTAAAAATCTCTTGGTTGAGCTTTCGCAGCACACTGTCTTTGAAAATCACTGAGAAGGTATAGGTAGTCAAAAATGAAAAAAAAAATGCAAATAGTTATGGGTGTATCTCATTTTGTCTATATAACAACAGTTCCTTGAGAGCTGCAGTGGTGATGGGTTTATTCATACTGCTGGTTGTCATCATTAAATAGCTGATAACTGAAGCATCTTCAAAAATGTCTACTCCAATAACCACCTGACCAATGAGATCTGAAGCCAGCCTTCTGTGGAACAGCATTCCCTCCCACCTGAGAGATGAGAATAGCCTCAACCATGAATCTGTTCCTGGAGGTCTTGGGAACTGGAATATTGTTCTCTCTTGTAGTGAATTGTTTGCTTACTAAATGTGATCTACTTTGTAGTATTGCTGCACTTCATGTTACTGCTTTTGTAAGTATTTTATATTTTTCACTTGGTTTAGGGACATTGGATATGAATATCATTCAGATAATGCAGGAAAAAGTTCTGTTGATATGTTTCATTTAGACATACTTATAAATAAGCAAAATTATTCAGCTAAAAGCTGAGCAGACTGAATTTTTGCTATTAGAAAGTTAAAGGTAAAAGCACCAAAAGAAACCTAATAAATTTAAAATAAAGTATCATCTTACTTTCGCAAACTGGAAGCTCTCTATTCCAGTCAACTATGCCTGATTTCAGAACACACTGACGGACAGAACCACCTATTATTCTGAACCTAAAAGGGAAAAAAAACTACCTTTTGGTAAATAAATTATTAAAATTATATAGAATATGTGAGGTTTAGCCATGGATTGTTCAGTTGTAATTTCTTCACAACAATTACAGTTATAATTTTTGCCACCTTAATAAATATTTTATAATTTCATTCCATGTCTTAACATAATGATTTTGAAACAGCATACATATGTCAAATTTACGCCCAAATATTCTACCTTTTTCTCAATCTTGGAAACTGTTTTATTCATAAATTCTATTTGATTTTGCATCTTCATATTTTTATTAACATCTTTGGCTTCTGTTTAATAATCTTAAAACCTGCTAATGTATCAAATTATTTTAATTGAATTGAATTAAAAGGCCAGGCTTGAACTTCAGGTTTGGGGCAGATACTGCACTTTATCCACTGTGCCACAATGGCTCTCTTTCACTCAACAGGCTTAGTCCAAACCAAACCAATTTTATTTTGACGTACAGAAATGTAGGAACCCAGTCAGTATAGTACTCCATGTCTGCTTATTAACAATCCCTAGAAACATTCCAAAATCTGATAAGGTGAACATACCAGAAATGTTCACCTTCAAACCAATGTCAAAGCTTCATATCCAGAGGTGGTATTCTACTGGTTTGGACTGGTTCTATAGAACTGGTCATTATGATTCTGTGCAGTTCAGACAACTGGAAAATCGTGCCACTGGCTGGGCCTGCCCCTCTCCACCCTCCCCTCTCCTCCCTGCCCAGTCAGGCCTTATCACACGTGTACAACATCGTGTGCGTTCCTGACATCACTGAGTGTGTTCTTCCCTGCCCAGTCAGTCATTAAGGTATTTCTTTCCCCCCCCTCCCACCAATCACATGTTCCTATGATCAGCTGTGCCAGGATTCCCCTCGCTGTCTTACTGGTTCGTCCAGGATGATTCCCTGAAGCCCTGGAAGGCAAAAAATGGAGGGGGAGCAGACCCCCCTACCTCCACTCTATTTTTTGTCTTCCTGGGCCCCAGGGAAGCTTCCTGCGAGGAAAAATGCCCCAGGAGGCTTCCCTGAGTCCCAGAAAGCCCCCCAAATGGAGTGTGTGAGGGGGTACTACACGCCCCCCGGCTCCATTTTTTTTTCTTTCCTGAGGCCCAGAATGCCCCAAATCAGAGTATGGGGGGGTGCACCCCCCCGGCTCCATTTTTTCCTTTCTGAGACGCAGGGAAAGCTTTTGGGAGCAAAAAGACCCCACAGGAGGTTAACCTGAGGCCCAGAAGGCACAAATAAATGGGGGGGGGTTGCTGCAAAAAAGCCATGTCCACCCAGTCACCTGGCCACACCCACCTAACCACACCCACAGAACCAGTTGTTAAACAATTTGAATCCCACCCTCTTCATATCCCACCCCTCTACTGCCACTATAAATTACTTTTCCTGCTCCCCATTTCCAAGTAGATATAATAATGTTACACATGTGATTTCACTACCAAGAATGAAGAAGCCATACATGGAAAGATCCTCTGGGGATAGGAACATAGAAAAATGTATGGATATAGGTTAATATGGCCTCTAAATAATTTGATCAGTAAAACTGATCAAAGCAAAAAAAGATGTTTAAGCTGCTTTTGAGATATTTGTATCTTAATGAAGGCATATGAAGACTTATAGTACATATTCACAGTTCAGATTTTTAATATCTGTACTTCCTGAAACAATACATGATTGTCATTTCTCTCTAAACATATTTTACAAAACTAAGTTGCTTCAAGAAATAATCTCTAACTTACCCATAATTGCAACCAAGGATTACTTCCTCTCCAAGTCGCAAGTCATCTGAAGAGACTATTTTGCCATTTTCTATATTTGGAACGGGACATCTCTTTCCTAAAAAGATTGGAACTGATGTTATCATGGGCCTTTGCCATTTTTACAATAAAATGAACATGGAAAATAGTATCTTTCTGGTGACTGAATGACTTGATTAGACTAATCATTGGTCTGCAGAAAATCTTCAATGTGAAAGAAACTTTCACGTTGGGGATTAAACTCAACATGGATGAGAACAGTTCTTCTACATCTCTGAAAGTTAGTGTGCTTCAGATTGCACTGGTTCAAGTTGTGAGCAGTGAGGGGGGAAACGATGGTGAAGCTCATCTGGAGGTGGCAGAGTGTAGGGCAGCTGGGGTAGAGCACAGGGAGATCCAAATGTCAGAGTTGGAGGGAAGACAGATGGTACTGGGGAAGTTGAAATAACCCTCCAGGTTTAAATATGGGTGGGTGGTCAAGAGGTTCTAACAAGCTAGAGATCCCAATTTCATAGGCAACAGTATAAAAACTGGCCACACCAATATTTCTAATTCAGTGAACAAGAGAATCCAAAAAAGTACAAATTATTATTGCCCAGTAGAATGCTTTCAGAATTCTCATAACTCAGTATTCAGGTTTGTCTGAATATAAATCTCTGAAAGTTTGCATGTATTTCATTCAGCATTTTATAAGAGCTTAGGCTAAACATAAATCTAAAAAGATTAAAGGTGTGCAAACATGCTTTTTCTTTTCCCTTGAGTACCATTTTTGTTGAAGGTTTTCTTTAGATAGTATATGTGACCTTGACCTCTTAAATGAGGGCAGAATATACATTTAATAAATGATAAATAAGCAAAAATTCTGATTCATCATAAATGACAATATGAAGAGTAATCTTTGGTTGATTTCTCCTACCATCCATAGTGTTAGCATTACATACATCCTAGGATCCTGGGCCTACTGCCTTCCAAACAGAGAAGCATCTGAATGAAGATGAACAGCTTCAAGGCAGCATAACAATAACTGATGTGCCCTAGTATTTTTAATGAATTCTGGTGGCAGAAGAAACCAAGAAACAGCAATTCAGAAACACCCCACCCAAATGCTTGCTAAATTCTCAGGATCCAATAGCCAGATTAATTTTCAGATAATGTTTTATTCAAAATAAATTACAGGATGGAAACTAAAGCTACAACTTTAAATCTGACAATTTTGAAGAACTGAACATATTTCATTCAATATTTCATAGAAGCCACTGGTGTTGACAAAAGATACTCACCTTGACAAAGTGTAGGAAGATCTGACCACTTACTAGTGTCAAGACATGTCATTTTAGGAGTTATTCCAGATATATATTCATAACCTGGGTTGCACTGTAATCTCAGAACAGCTGCAGCTGGATAGGTATCTTCTAGGCCTCCTCCTCCTCCTCTTAGTGAAGAATGGGGAGGTAGAACTGGTCTTGGGCAGTCACCTGTTGGTAAAGAAACATGAGGAAGCTCTGAAGTAAGCAACAGACATGAAGGTTTATTGCAGTACCAAAGCCCAACCATACATAAAATCTTAACCGTAGATTTACTTCCTGAAAGTCTGTCCCAGGTGAAAGACCCTCACTTAATCTTTCAGGTCTTCTAATGATTCATTCATCACCACTGTAACTGAGTCTTCTCTGCTCATTCTGTTGCTGAACATCCTCTTCTTTTTTTCTTTCACTTTTCCGGCATCAGAGCTTTCTTTATAGAGTTACCTCTTCAAAGTACAGTCATGTGAAAAGGAAAGTATGAGTTCTGTAATGTTATGTATCGGGACAGCAAAAGCCATCTAGTCCTTAGCAGTTCTTAATAATAACCACGATAACTATAGATGAACAACAACACATGACATATCACACCATGTTAGCATTTATTTTACAAAAAACGGAGAAGAATCCATGTATGAAAAAGCAAATACACTCTTATTGTTTCCATAGGTAGGAAGAGAGGCTATCAGTCAGGTAGCTCTATTCAAGCACCCTTGATCAATTGATCATCAGCAAGTGTGGCTGCCTCTATAAAAGCTGAAGCTTTAGGAGTTTGCTGGTCTCCAGCATTGAGGTATCTGTTAATAAAATGCCAAACAATGATCTTAGAGAAGGAATTGTTGCTGCCCATCAATCTAGGAAGAATTATAAGGCCATTCCAAACATTCTAAAATGAAGAAGATTATTCACAAGTGGAGAACATTCAAGACAGTTACCAATCTTCCAGGAGTGGACATTGCAGCAATTTCCCCCCAAGATCAGACCATGCAATGCCCAGAGAAATTGCAAGAAATCGAAGAGTTACATTTCACACTATATAGGCCTCAGTATTATGTTAAATTTTCAAATTCATGGCAGTACAATTAGAAGAAGACTGAACAAGTTTGGTTTGTTTGGAAGAGTTGCCAGGGGAAAGCCTCTTCTCTCTAAAAATAAAATGAAAGCGTGGCTTAGGTATGCAAAGTTGCATCTGAACAAATCACAATACTTGTGGAACACTATCCTTGGACAGATGGAACCAAAGTGGAAATGTTTGGTCATAATGCACAGTGGCACGTTTGGCAAAAACCAAACAGTATATTAACCACACAGTATATTAACACAGACATCTCATACCAACCATTAAGCATGGTGGTGGAGGGGTGATGAATTGTGCTTGTTTTGCTGTTATAGGATCTGTTGGGTATAACATTGATACACCAACAAAGTTTGGGTGAATAAATATATAAAACCAAGGTTTGGGTGTTTGTAACTTGTAGCTTTAAGCACCAAACTGCTTGTAATTAACTAATTAAGGGTGCGGTTACAAACGGCAATAAAAGGCAGTAAGAGAAACGTAATCTCTCTGCTTGATCTCTGCTTGATTTCTGCTTGCTACTGTTTGTTTGCTACTATTTGCTACAACTGTTTGAATACCTGAACGAAAGGACTACTTCATTGATGTGCTGATATCCTGTGAATACTCAGCGTTGTCTTCAAAAGGAAAGGTATCAGAGGAGAAGATATCTTTACAAGCAGATAAGGATATAGAACTGACTAGTACATGGACTAAGTTACTGAATGGATATATTTGTGAATGACATATGGACTGATTGACAATGTTTAAACTCGAATTGGATTAAACAACTATTTAAACTACAAACAGTGTTTGTCATCAGTGTGTGTAAACCCTAGGGCCCTTCCTCTCTCATTTGGCTGCCTGGTTTGACTGCTGCTGCACATTCTGTTTTTTGGGGGTTTGTTCCCAAACACTAACAGGATCTAGGTACCGTGCAGTCATTGAGTTGACCAAAGTATTCTAGAGTCAAATATGAGCAGGGGTGGGCTGCTGGGGGTCCGCAGGGGTTTGGGAGAGCCCCTAGCTAAGATTCTGTGCAGTTTGGAGACCCCACAAATCCCACTCCTGGCTGGCCCCACCCACCCCACCCCGCCCATCCCAGGAGTCCCCACATGGCCAGTTTTGGATGTAGATAAGAGCAGGGCCCATGCGGAGGCTCGGGGAGGGCAAAAAAAATGGCTTTCTAGAAGTTTTGGAAGGCCGGAGATGGGCTCATTTCCGGCTTCTAGAGAGCCTCTGGAGTCTGGGGAGGCCGTTTTTGCCCTCCCAGAGGCTTGAGGAAAGCCTCTGGAGCCCAGGGAGGGCAAAAACACCCCCCACATGGTGCAGGAGGCTGACTAGGCCATAGCTACTATGGCCATGCCCACCAGCAACCGGGCAGAGAACCCGTTGCTAAAAATTTTGAAGTCCACCCCTGAATATGAGGCCATTTGTTGGGCAGCTAAAGCTTGGCTGACACTGGGTCACACACCAGGACAAGGATCCCAAGCACACCAGCAAATCTACAAGAGAATGGCTGAAAAAGAAAGTAACCGCAGTGTTGCAATAGCTCGGTCAAAGTCCAGACCTCAATCTGATTGAAATGGTGTTTTGAGACCTCAAGAGAACAGTGGACAAACAAGTACCCACAAATCTCTATGAACTGAAGTAGAGTGGGCCAAAGTTCATCCACAATGATATGAGAGACTGATAAAGTCATGCAGAAAAGAATTATTTCAGGTTATTGCTGCTAAATATGGTTCTATAAACTATTGCATCATAGGGTATTCTTACTTCTTCACACATGGTTTCTCCGTTTTGGCTTTCTTTTTGTAAAATAAATGATGACGTAGTGTAATACGTCATCTGTTATTGATGATCTGAGATATGTATTTATCTACTTTTGAAATAATTGCTAAGGATCAGATGATTTTTACAATGTCCTGATCCATAAAACCATAGAACTCAAAGAGGGTGTACTTACTTTTTCATGACTATATTTGAAATGCAATACTTCAAGGCTGAGCATTTGTGCTTCAACACTCTAGGCTGATTTGTTGATGATCCATTTGTTTGATTTCTTGGCTGTCTATAATATTCTCAGAAGTTTTTAAAATTATTATTTTATTTGTTTTAATTCAATTCGTACCCAACTCCAATGGAATTTGTTTCTGCAACATGAACATCAAAGTTTAAGAGAGTCAATACTCTTTTTCTTCTTGAAAACCAACATTTGCCTCCATAAAAACTGCTGCAACTTCTAACCTAGGTTGGTATGCTCACATAATATTTATGACCATGTTGCATTGTATTGGAATTGTCAATCTCAATTACTATCATTAAGTGAAGATCATCTGTAATGACTGATGCACCACTACTTACTAGATATAATTATCCATGCAGGATTACTACATTCATGTCAGAAGCATCTGCCAAGGCGCTTCCAACACATGCAGTATTCCATGCAGTAACTGGATTACTTACTGCATGGCACTTCCATGAAGTAACTGGATCAGATGTTGGTTTCTCTGTACATGAATTTTCACCAAATTGAAATATGAAAACTGGTATAGAGCAGAGGTGCTTCAGATGATCTAGGATACATATCTGTTAGAAATTTATCTGGTCTGGTCTGATGGTGGCTTAGCAGAATGTTTGAAAATTAAAGTCCAATTTTGTGTCACTTGCAATGGCTGCTTGTACAATCTGAAGCTCAATTTATCTGTCTGTTATTAACTTTTAAAACTTGAATCTTCACAATTTTGTCAGGCAGGGAACCATGCTCAAAATAGCTCAGGTCAAAATAAAACCTGATTTAAGTAAAAATCAAGTCAATGAATATAGTTGAGACTACAATGTAATACTTTTTCCTTTTTAGTCATAAAAATACAATTTAATGATAATTTTGGATGAGGCTCTGGAGTGTATCCATGCTTTGCATGTGCATCTATGGGCTTTATGTCATGTAGCACACACTAAATATTTAAAAACTGCTTCCAAGCCTGTCTCTTGTCTTAGTTCTGCCTCCTCGATACTTCTTGAGCAGCAGCAATAACTTTAGGCCAGGGGTGTTAAACTTGTGGCCCATGGGCTGGATGTGTCACATGCTGGCCCCGCCCCCACACAGTTTAGTGAGGAGGAAAAAAGTCCTGATACATCATGTGATGCTGCTGTGATGATGCAGGTTTGACACCCTTGTTTTAGGCGGTGGCTTCACTCCTTTTCCACATATGTTTTGACATCCCTTAAGTTCTCCACACAGGCAGAACTTGCACCACAATGAAAACTGTGGGACCCACATATATATTTCATTTATTAGATTTCAAAAAGTGCTCATGGTGGCAAGCACAGCAGGCCCTTCCCCCTATTTTTCTGTACAGCAACAATCCTGTGGATCAAGTTAAGCTCAGTTAGCCCCTTTTCACCAGTAAAAGGTTTTATGCTGAGGAATTCCAAGCCAAGTTGACCTAGGCTCACCTATTCTTTATAAGGGTATCTTAAAATGTTGAATTGAAAGTATATTTCAAGACAGTATTTAGAATGATTCTATATACTTTGCACCCTGGCTATATTATCTGTGGACATTGCCTTCTCTGAATATAGAAATTATGCTGCAGGCAAATATCCCTACATAGTGACTTAAAATATTTTAAATAAACACATAAAATCTCCTGATTCTTATTTCCAGGATTCAGATTCATGTTCTCCAACAGGACTTTAGCCTCTTGGCTTTCAGTTGATGTTTGCAGTCTATTTTTATAGAAACTGATCTTCGGAGAAACAGTTTTCCAAGCCTAAATTTCCCAAGTATAATGGATTTCTCATGGGAACTAGGCTTCTGTATGATGAGTCAAAAATGTGAAAGGGCTTCATGATTTATGCGCTGAGTAACAATTCTGGCTAGTTTGTTTTATGCTCCATTTCTGTGTTTGTTTTCTCGTTAACTGCATTTATCAAGGAGAGTGCTCTAAGTGGATGTAGATAAAAGTCCTACTTCTTAAAACTAGTACAAATACAAATGAGAACAAAAAAATAGGGTAGGTAAAAAATTAAAGCTGCTTGAAAGTAATCTATTAGTTTTCCACTTCTCTTTCTGTAATGCCAGGCTTGGCAAGAAACTGAAGAAAACCCATTGACTTGCCCTTCTGGAATGTCAGGAGAATTTGTACAGGTACTTGGCAAGCTTGACCCTCTTAAAATGAACTCCTCATCAGTGCTTCAAGTGCTAATCTGGGCAGCCTCGAGTAGCAAAGTAGAATGTCATTCCGGCACAACTTGATTTGATCTGATCTGTGTCTTATGAAGAATTAGTAGAGAATTAGTAGAACAAATAAAAGCAGAAGCAGAAAGACATAATGAAATATAGTGCCACAGGGAATAGATAGGCCCATGAAAAGGAAATTTTCTTGCCACCTCCTCTACTTAAAAGCAATAAATATTTAAGCCAATGCTTGTGTTAACCTGGCCCCATTTGTCCATCCTCAAAAGACTTTGTACTTTATTCGGAAGTCAAGTCTGACCTATGATTCTGTCCTGGACTGGTGAACTTGAGCCCATCTTCAAAATGCTGAGAACTGAGTTCTCAATTATATTGACAGGACCAGCATAGAAATAAAGCAGCCCTTTAGCACAAGAGGACACAATTTTAAAATTCAATCCTGTAGCACAAGCGAATACAATTTTAAAATTCCACCCACACTGGAAGGAATTGAGCAGTGAGAAAATGGCTGAAGCTCCAAGCAATGCTAGCCTTGCCCTGCAAAAGAGCCTGGAAAGCATGAAGTAAAGTGAAATGTAAAAAGCTGTTAAAAATAAGTGGGACCATGGCTTGAGGAAGCTTCGGTTCTCTTTCAGAAAGTAGTTAACCTCCTGGAAGCCAGGTCAGCCCCTTTTCTTTCAGAAACCAAAAGCAAACCACCAAGAGTACATTTTACTTACTTTGAACTTCAGACAAGGACAGCAGCAGCAACATCCAGGCTAGGAGCCCAGCCTGGTTGCAAGATAATGCTAGCATTGCAGCAGCAGTAGAGAAATCTCTGGTCTTCAGAAGAATTCTGAGAAGAATATTGGCAGCTTCGGACAGAGCAAGAATTTCCACAGCCAAGACCCATATGGCAAAATGTGAGAAAAGGAGTGTCTTTGTTTTCAATAGGCACTTGGTATCTTTTTGTTGGTGAGCCAGAGAACTTCCTGGTTCAGAACAAACAAATACATGTTTTATTTATACAAAGAACTCTAAGGATTAGAAATAAATCCAGGCACAGAGTATGCCAAATTTGTGGTGACATAAATTGACAAGGTGACTCTCAAAATAGACTTCTCAGCAGTGTTTAGAAATAAATGCAAATATGTTTTATGTTTATTCATACAATTTATACATTGCCTAACTGTAATCAAGTCTAGGAAGCTTATACTAACCACAAATCAATTTACAGACAGGTGCAGATCACGTATATCCAGAAAATAAGCCAAACAGAACAACATAGCAACCTCTGGGTGTCAATAGCCAGCCTTCTCTAAGGTCTGGGGGAATTGCCACGTTTCCAATGACTTTCAATGATTGTCAAGGTACTGAGGGGTGTTCCTAAGGGCAGAGGCCAGCACTGAGAATGCACGCTTCCTAGTCCCACTGGATTACATTGTTGGATTGAAACAATCTGGAATGCACCTACTTTGCTAATCTCATTGGATGGGCAGAAGCTATCACATATATGCAGTCCTTCAAATAATCAGACCCTATGCCAGGGATGTCAAACTCGATTTCATGGAGGGCTGCATCATGGCTGTGTTTGACCTCGGGGGGCCAGGGTGAGCATGGCCAGCTTGAAATCACTTGTGTCGGGGGCACCTGTAGTGGCCTGAGCACTCTGCCAGCAAAAAAAAGCTTCCAAGTTCCATTTTCGGCTGCAACGGACTCCTGCAACCCTCTGTCAGTAAAAACAGAGCTTGGGAGGCAATGTCAGTGGCTTAGAACACAGCAAGCCCTTCCATACCCTCAAACCAGATAGCCGGGTTATGGTTATCGGATGTCTGAACAAGATGAACAGAGACAGCGACAACTGGGATGGAGGACACTTGCGAGAAAGGAGTACACAATAACTCTAATTTTCTTGAAATCAACAACAAATTTACAGCAAACTATCAAAAATGTTCTTAGGCCTAGATGTACATACATGGAATTACTGTTTCCAGCATCAGAAAAACTCTGATTTTTCAGTTTTAAAATTTTCCCCCTTAAAATCTTTATCTTCAAGAACATATGCTAGCAATGATATAAAATAAATGGCATGCTTTTCAAATGTCATCATAAAAACATATGATAAGTCATGTGATTTACAGACTACTATGATCAGATTCATTGGATTGAAATTGATTCTTGGATCAATTCATGATTCAGTTGGGAGACAGGAGGATAAAAAAAGTGACATGTTGTTTTGCCAGATTTCTGGTAACCCTAGACAGGTTGAAATGTAATAAACTGCCAAGCAAAGGAGTGTCACTGCTCTCATTCAACAGGCCTATTTATTTTATTTCACTGCTTTTGTTGGTGACCACAGCTTCCTGGTTCATATTTGTTACTTCTATCCCCCTTGCAGGATTCATGCTTAAGCTTTGATTTTCTAAAAAAACCAGATTGATCACAGGGAAGATATTAAGAATATGATCTTTACCCTTTTTTTGCCTGTCATATTGTATATTTGCATTTCGTTGGCAGCTCTAATTCTTTCAACCAACGCTTCTGGATTTAATTGACAGCCCTTTCTTTGTAACTATAAAGTTAGGTAAGTTAGGTAAGATAATGCAAAAGATAACTGATAGCCCTTGAATCACTGATTCCATTTGGGGAATTAATTCAATTTGGTTTAGATGCTCAAACTGTTGAAATGAATCATTTTGGGAAAAACTATTTTTGTACATGTTCAAAATATCTAAATGAGTTTAGTGGCAATCTGGCTGAATCACTGTTAAACTGAATCTCTGTTTTTTGGCATAGGTAGAGTTTTTTTTTAAGCAAATTTTATTGATTTTAAAAACAAACAAACAAAACAAAACATCATTAGACATTAAAAACATAAAACCTCTTTCCATTATAAATCTTTACAAGGCAGGTAACACATTATTTTATATCACATACTTGTAATTTATCCCATTTCCATGTAGACACGTAAATTCCCTTTAACAAATTTCACATTATTTCTCTTTACTCTTATTTAATCACATTTCTTTTCTAATTTATCTGCTATTCAATCATCACATTTATATTTTCCTCTGGCTTGTTTACAATTGTTCTCATCTGGCATTCCTCCGAGATTTTATTAATTCTCAATTAAACACACACACATAAAACACAAAAACATAAAACTTCCTTTTAGAAAGTAACTTGGCCCCAGATTACCTCTTTTTGTATGGACTTCAGTTAAATTCATGCTCTTCTTATATACCATTACCTATCTTGTTTACCATTCTATATCTTCTATATAACTCCTCCCCACTTTTCCGTCTTCTTAATTCTATTTTATATATTTCATCTTGCTTTAAGACAATATTTTTATATCTTTTGTCCATTTTTCCATTTACATCTATCTCATTCCCAATATAAAAAAGGATAATTTCCCCTGAAGTCACTAATCAGAGTATGATGCCTTTCTATCATTCCCCTAAATTGAAGTTTGAAATAACACCTAAGTCCCAATCTGATTCTGCTTAGTACATTCTACTATTTCAAAAACAAATACTACAATAATAGGTCTATAATAATCAACACATTAGCCCATTAAACTCTATATTTAAACTAATATTTTAAACATTTCCTTTAATATTTTATTAAAACTTAAAATCATTCATTATTAAACATTTTAACATTGTACCTTAATATTTTAATCTTTTATTAAATCTTATAGAATTCTAATTGTCTATTTTTAATACAAATACCACTGCTACAATACTATCATGTGTACTTTGCAGAATCCCTTTTTTTTAAAAAAAAAAACCCATACATTACCCTTTGTCCCTAAAAATTTTTTTCTTTTTCCCATCTTGTTTTATACCTTTGTAACTTTTTTCCCCCTTTTCCCTTTCTTTCTTGGCCCACCTAGACTTTTTACCCACTCCTCTCCAAACCTCTGCCTTCTTGGCTTCCCCTTTCTGTTGCATTCTTCTTTCCTTTTGCTTTCTGGCATTATATTGTTTTTGCATCTTATTTTTCTCTTTCATAAATATTTTTTTATGTCTTAAGTCCTTCCTTTTCCCTCCTCTCTTTTTCCTTTCTTTCTTAATCACACCATTTAGTTTGACTTCCGGTTTGCCAGGCTTCGGTGACAGCAGGGATTCGCGTTTCTCCACGATCCCTGCTATGCTAGTCATCTTGGTGCGTCCGATCCTGACGGATCTGGAGGATAAGGCTGCCCTGTTGGGGTAGCTGAAGATAGGGGGGATCCGGACAGGGGTTGAGGGGTATCGCAGACCCCCTCCCCAGCCGGCAATAACCCCCTTTTCTCAAGGCAGTGGAGCGGCGGTCTTAATGGCCGCCACGAAGAAGCCGGCAACTGGATTAAGAATGTGCAGGAGGAAGAAGAAGGAAGTTTTAAAATGAAAGTTTTTTCTTGGCTGAACCAGGACTTTAAGGACATATCTAATACCTGGAAAATTACTATTCTTTCTGGATGCTACAATGTTCCCAATGGAGGTTTTCAGCGGCGAAGGAAAGTGTTGAAAGGGAAAGTTACTCTCCCTCCCTTATGGAACTAACAAATGGATATGGAAAATCTGCTTTCTAACAGAAGGTAAAAACTTAAAGCCCTTTGTTACAAGTGGGAAGGGAGAGGCTTGGAAAAAAAAATTATTTTAAGACTTTGTTGGAGGAGGTGCTTTGAAGATAAAGGTGCTTTGAAGATAAAGGTGCTTTTGAAGCTAACTGCAAAAAAGATTTAAAATACAGATTGGGTTTTTTTCCCTAATTGACTTTACCCCAGGAAGAGAAACTGTAAAAGGAAGAAGTTTGTGCTTTGCCTGGACTGTTTGATGACTTTGGGACTTTGGGGAATTGTTTTAAGTTTGGAAATATTTGATTGGCTTAATAACAAGAAGAGGATACAGAAAAAGAAGAAGAAAAGGTTTATAATGGCTCTATCTATCGATGAACTAAAAAAACAATATCTAAAAATAAGGAAAGAAGGCAAGGATGCTATGGGAGAAGCCCTTTGTTTTCTAGATATGGCGCTTGCTATGTGTCAGCAAATTAAACAACAGTTGGAAGAAGTGGAGGAAGAAGAAGCCATTTTTAATGAGGTAGAGTTTCTAATTACACTCTGGTGACCTCTACTATTTATCAGCCATATTGTTGTATTACACCAGACCCTGGATGCCAATTGAATTGTATGTCCTCAATAACTTCCAATAATTGATATGGTGAAGTGTTGTAGGATACAGTCAGTAAGATAGCTAGAAAATTGGGCCTCTTTTTTAAAGTGTAAGGAAGTGGTCGCCAACCTGTGGGCCATGGTCCACTGATGGTCTGTGAGAAAATTTTGGTGGTCCACAAAGAAATGCCACACCCAAAGTAATTAATCCAGGCTGTGTAGGAAAACAAGGCTGCACTGCCCACATGACCCGTGGGAATTCAAGGCTTGTATCGCTTGCATTGCAAACAACATGAGGTAGTAAGGGGAGGGGGGAAAGTGTGGAGGGGGGAAGCTTGCCCTACTTGCCCCAAGCACCTGGCCTGGCCACTGGGCTGCTTCTTTCCACTTCTTTCTTCGCCTGCTTTTGGCTGCATACAAGGAAAGCAACAAAAGTTTCTTACTCTCTCCCAAACTCTGCCAGGAATGAGTCTTTGGGACCCTGCAAGGCATCCTGCTCCAAGAGGCTGTGTAGGCAAAGACTCATTTCTGGCAGAGTTTGGCAGAGAGAAAGCAAGATTTCTGCTGCTTTCCTTGCATGAAGTCAAAAGTCTCTCTCTTTTTTTGTCTCCCCGAGAATGGAGCTGGAAATGCTATCCTATGATCCCAAATAAAGAACGATCGGAAAACTGGGTGGAGAATTTTCCTGCAGACATTTTTGGGGATTTTCCCAGGGTCTCTACAGGCAGAGACCCTGGGAAAATCCCCCAAAAAGTCTGCAGGAAAATCCCCCACCTTGTTTTCCTACCAATTGACTGTTCTTTATTT